GCGATATGATGGATGATTGCGTCTCTTGAAGTAGCGTTGTGTTTATAAACTGCCCAAATTCTTCCACTGTATTCGTGGAAGGCTGTTCCTGCTGCTCCTGGATCACCTGATGCAGCTATACAAAAGCTGTACAAGGTGGTCATTCATCGGCAACCTACAGCATGGTTGCACTGGACGCATCGCAATTAGTGTTGCGTATTTCTGAGTATGAGTACATTGATTAATAGCGTTGCGGACTTATTTTCGGGAGTTCTTTTCAGTACTTTTCGCATTTGATTTTGAAAATTTCCTCATACATAAAATTTTAGCTTCGGCTAGTGATATTAGAGAATTGAGAAATACTTTAAATTTGTGGAGTAATACCGATGAGAATTATAAAGAGAATGAAAAATATATACTTTAAATTCGTTCAGTAGTACTAATATAGTGTATTAATACAATACCAGAAGAGATAAGACTACAGTCTTATATTAAAGAACGATGATCGGCAGGCGAAGCTGAAAGCAATTCAATACGGTCTCTCGAACGATTAGGATGAACCGATACTCTTTTAAATGTACAATTTTATAATTATTTCTTATATTTCTGTACAACTTTTTTCGCCATTTTATTAAACTGTGCGATCATTAGAATTAGAGGACGAAATGTTTTAAGGATTTCTCTTAGAATTTTTAACGTTACATTAATTTATACATTAGTAATGTTTATAATATTATAATACGCAGAATTTGATATATTTTTTGTTTCTCTAGTATCTCAAAATCTAGCTGAAGCTAAAATTTAAGGTCTTTCTATTTTATATTAAGGCCGCTTTTCTATAGTCCTTTTAAATGTCACGACCAGTTAGTTAAATCCCAGTTCAAAATAATATTGTTCCAATTAATCCGCTCCCCTCCTTTGAGATGTTTGCCGTTTACTCGACAATTTAACTATTCGAAAAATAATTTTTTTCTTTATACCTAACGTATAAAAGACAACGAAAGATAGAAAATGGCATAAAAATTAGACAAGAATTACATGGTAACAGTGTTTCCAGCCAGCGAATGCTCCGGTCTGTTCTAGTTTGGAATCATAAATATTATTTATTTTGAATGAAACATTATATTTTCGCAGTTAAAATAAATAATTATTGAAGTAAAGTTCACTGTACGATTTAAGAATACAGCAATAACAGGAATATTATTATAGTATTAGTTTTTATAATATATTAAAGTATATATTATAGCATATAATATAATATACTATAAAGTATATATTATAATATAGTATATTATAATAATATAATGATATAATAATGAATAAGAATATTATAGTATTTAATTTTTATATAGTAAGTTATTTATCATTTCACATACATTTAGTCTCTCTACTAAACGATGCATAGGTTTAGTTAGATATAACTGAAAAGTAAAGTAACAAACGACAGTTGCATTTTGTTTTTCTCATATCTGTATTTGTACAATATCCGTTTATACATCTTTCTTATTAAGGGGATAGGCTAGCTGGGGTTACGGATGGGGGTACACAAATCCACAAAGTTTCTCGAGAAGAGGAATGGGCGAAAAATTCGAAAAATTCGCGTGATGCGCTTTAGTCGCGCCCATACATACTACAAAAAATCAGTCATCATGTTACGCACATTAATAAACCACCAGCGACGTAACAACCTCTCATTGAAACATGCTTCACATAAAATTTTACACGACTTTCGCAAAAAAATATTTTTCTTCTCGTATCGTCTTCGATTCAGTGATCCTAATCAAAATTACTGAAACTTTTTTTCCATATTTCTTCCATGTTTCTGTTGATATTTATCTTTTTACTTCATACTTTTGTTCCTAGAACAATGATTTCCAACTGCATATACATTATTGGCTATCGCACAAATGTTGAATCGAATTTTCAATATATTTTTAAATTTCCGTTCAAGGATTTTTGATATAGCTGTACAATTCGTCTCTTTTGCAATGAAATTATAATTTTTACGATACCCTTTTTTATTGCTGGATCTCAAGCCAGAGGAATCTATAATATTCAACGAGGAATCATTGTGTATTGTGATTTATCGTTCACCGATCGGTGATAATAAACTCTGGGACTATGATTTGTTCACTTTGCAACATCGATAAAATTACTGATATTCAACTTGGTTGTTTGGAGGAACCGTAATAAACTTTTCTCTGTATCTCGATAGACTCTGAAAACGTAGCTTTATTTGCAACATTGATAAAATTACGTACGCTTAAATTCCAGATAACGAAAGGAATCGCGAAAATCCCGTCGTTTCTACTGTTATCGTCCCACCTCGATAAAATTATAATATTATATACTTTCATCTGTAACATTCAATAGAATTATTGACTCGACTATACACATACTTTCTTATGGATTACACTCGCGTGATATCGTGAACCGAATCTCGACGTATGTTCTTTCGACTAACGAACAGGAATCGACGATCTAGTCGAAACACACTGTCCTGGAAGGTGTTTGCGCATAAAATTTTCACATAAATACAGCGAGGAGTAAACTGCTTTTGTTCACTAAAATTGATCGAATCTGAAAAACAAGTTTGCAGCAAATGGATCGTCGTCGTTTGATGTCGTTAGAACAGAAAGGTCAGGTTTGAAATGTAACTTTGTAGAAGCATTTTACAAGTGAACGAGAAGAAAGTGATGAAGTTCCTGCGCTTTCTCATCCTTTCGTTTTTCGGCCGTCTCGTCTCGGTACGATCTCGTCGCCTAGATGTGTACGTGCGATGATTAATTAAAGTTCTGAAGAATCGATTAACCTTTTCAAGAGCACTATCGCCGAAGAAGCGTCTTTCCGTCTCTGCGTGCAAACAGAATTTCGAATTTCTTTTTTTTTTTTCTTCTTCTTTTTGAACAATCGTGCAAACAATCTCCTCGAACGTGGAAATCAGAGTAGCAGAAACTTAGTTAGTTTCGTTGATAAAATTGCTTCGCTAGAAATGTGTAATCCATCGCGTGACACGAAGACGCTTCTGTACAGACTTCTATTGATGACTTGACTTGCTTACGTACACGTACTATCGCCATAGAATGAATCGAACGTTGTCGATCCGTGTAAGATCGCTAAGATTTATCGTTACTCGATTAACCCGTAAGTCTACCGCACACCGTGATTCTAATCCACATGTGCGACAATCAACACTTAACACGTAAGGGACATCACATGAAATTTGCTGTATAGAACGATACACCATCTAAGTTATGCTTAAAAACTACCTTTTAAAGATGCCTCACCCAGCGTGTCGTTCACCGCGAATGCTTCGCACAATCCTCGTCATCCACTATAGCCGATCGCGGAACGCTTTCGACGTGACACGATGTTTCATAGAAAGTTGAGCACGTAAGAAGATCGGTGATAAGCGACAGTGAAGCACCATCGAAACACTTTCCTTTCTCCGCGCGGCATTTCACAAAGTTTCAATTATACGCCTCGCACGTGACAATTTTCCCTTTCAAAGTTGCTCACGTTGTCGCCGGAAGTACTTTAGAAAAGCGTTGCTCCTCGAAGATAGTTGAAGAGTATAGTTAAAGTATCGCGAAAACGCAATTGGAAAGAACATTTTCTGAACGATAGAACTTGGCGTAATATTCAGACGTCTCAGAAACAGACACCCGAAGTTTAGAATGATTTTAATACTTGCATGGCTTACGATATAGATCGAAAGGGGAAATCACGGACTGGGCTTAACGTTATTTAGATCTGAACTCTCGTCACTCCGAAATAAACGCAAGCCAGCATTCTGTTTCGAAATATCGTCCACGGATGTTTGTGCAGTTTTGCATTTTTTACGAGTGTAATTGAAAATTGAAATTTCGTTGAATATCGTAATTAACATTAAACACTTCTGCTCCGAATATTTTATTTTCAACACGTCGTATCTATGCATCTTATAGATTTCTCAGAAATGCAGAAACATCCGCGCTCTAGTTATTAATATTGTAATTCATCCACAGTGGAGCGATGGTGATCGATCTTTAAGAGATTATGCTAAAGATATAGTAGACGTCATAGAACTATGCAAGAATTGAACAAACTTTCAGTGAATTTTCAGTTGAAGTTTCATTATTTTAGACGTCGTGGTGTCATCAACAACTGACGTTTGAAGGCCTTGGATGATCATGATCGTTATCGGTTTTTTCGACCCATAAACACCAGTTATCAATTTCATTCGTTCAAAGCGTTAGCTGTATTACATCTGTTTTCTGTTATTATTGTACACACTTCACAAGCGATCATGCATTGCTAACGACGAGCAGCGTTGCACGTCGGGCCAACAGCATGATCGCAATAAAATATCCATTTACGAGGATCAAGCACTTGTCGAAAATATTTGCTTCACGTTCGCTTGCCCTTTGTCTTTTACGATTTAGGCCGTAATTGAGCAGTATCTGTACAACTTGTATGAAACTGTGCGGTCGCTAAAGAAAAGTGACTAGTTCGGATCTTTTTGTACGATTCTTTTTCTTCTTCTTCTTCTTCTTCTTCTTCTTCGTTCGATCGTGTAAACTTCATCGAGTCGAACTTGCAAGAAACAAACGCAAGCGGAAATTGCAAACTTCTCGCAACGCTGTCTATTTTCAATTCGAAACGTGTGTCTCTGTCTAATAGTTTCTAAGGTTAGAATATACAGAAAAGAATTTGTGAGTCTCGATATTAACGATCATTACTCTTCACTTGTCAAAACTTGCAGTAATGTAAGAGTTTCAGTTTAAGTGTTTAGAACGCGTTGGAGATAATTATTCTTCTTGAAACTATACATAGTTAGAGACTTGTAAATAGAAATGCACGTGCACAGGGACAGGAGGCCTAGAGGTACTTGAACCGTTTCAACCCGAGTCTACGTTACGTTCAACTGTATACACGTGTGTATAGTCTAACGGGAAGCAAATTGAAATTTACTTTAGCCTAGTTGTCGTTAGTCGTTATCGATCACAGTGATATATTACACGGAAATTTGATTTTCGGTACGTGCATGTCCGATGTGTTTGATCCACGTGAGCATTGGCGCGAATCGATGAGATTGTCTTTGGACACTTAGACGTTAGAACAAGTACATACAACACCGATATGTACGGGAAGAGGTTGTTGCTTGGATGTAATCCCTAGTTCTTTTTTTTTTCTTTTGTTTTTTTTTTTTTTTTTTTTTACTATACTTTGTTTCCCGGGATACTCGATCACAGTTCTCGACAGAGGCAGACTCCAGATTCGGAAGCAACATCGTTCGAACGTGTTCAACGTTCATTTCAAGAGCGTCTCTGCATGCTCGTCCGTGCAAACGCGATCGATTATCCCGTTGTTGTATATCGTACGATATCGCAGGTACATACACACATACAATTATATCAGTGGCGTTATGCCTATACATCTCTACGATTACCTTACACCGTGACCGTGCTCTGATAATTTATAATTACGTATAAGATATCTGCTAAAAGATTCGTAGCATACATAGGTGGATAAATGATCTCGATTGTCAGTTTCGATACGGCATATGTACGCATTCTTATCTTCATATGTATTTATATATGTATATGCATGTATAGAGAGAGAGAGAGAGAGAGAGAGACTTCTTTTTTATATTCAAATATACATACATATATACATATATATATATATATGTATATATATGTATGTATTTATGTATATATATATAGTATTTTTATATAGGCGATTACAATAGTCACAAAGTTAGGCAGACTTGAGTCACACTCGACATCGAAAGGCTGATCTTTTGTTTCGTAGAAAAAAGCGGGAAAGAATGGATTTGTCCTCTTCTCTCAGTATTATCGTAGATTCCTCTCTCTCGTCGTTAAAAGCTTAAATAATTCCTTCCTCGGCAAAAATATATTAGCGCCTTTCTGACGAAACGAAACGAGTCACGAAACGTTCTGAACCGCGCGCACGCGACCAGCATTCGTAATTCATACGAGAGGTCGAAGCTTTCAGCATCGGTTCCGTTTGCAACATCGACATCCATTTAGTGTTTCGTGAAATATCGCCAACGACGTCGATTGCAGTCTTGCCGGCAAAAGAATTCAGCGTCAGCGTCGAATAGAAACCGCGGTGCTAACGATCACAATGGCAATCGGTGATCGATAAATAGTTACGCATCGACGAGTTGTTAGTAGAAAACGCGTGTACCGTGCGCTTAGCCATTTAGAAAGGAAGAAACCTTTCGTCTACAGGTTTAGATGATTGCATTTGTTCAACAGGATTGTCCGTGCGTTTTATCATCGGACGAGGACAGCTTCGAGGAAAGCTCGTCAAACCTGGCGGGTAATTTAACGCGAATGTCGATCTCTCGATTCGAGAACTCTCGTCAAAAGTATCCTCGTGCCAAATGTATCCTTAAAGAAATGTTAGGATATGTTTGTAGGCCGATCAGATTTTTGCGTTCGTCAAACAATCTGCTCGTACGTCTCTCACGTCGTTCATTGAAACGTTCGTCACCCTTCGTGCTTCTTTAACACTAGAACTACCAGAGTCAAAATAACCGATTCGTAATTTTCCTCTCGAAATTCTAACGACGAAATTCATTTTCAACGAAAACACGATTTTCGTTTAGCGAAACACATAAATAGAAGCTTGTATTATTTATTGCGTTGTAAATTTTTTTTTTTTTTTTTTTCTTCTTACTTCCCAGCACTTTAGTTTCTCTGACATGAGTTTCGTATTTTGATCGTCGGTAGTTTTAGCGTTAAATTGACTTTCTACCAGACAAATGTCTCGCCTTTGTCTTGTACGTATCAGGATGATTTTATAGGCCATCAAGAATCGTTGCCTCTCCTTCGCTTTCGAAAGAATTCGAGGGAAAAAAAGAGATGTTCCGTTAGAAGACGTTCTATAAGCCGAGTTCTCGAATTGAATCGTAATCAATGAACCAGGTAGTAACAGGTAGTAGAGATATCTGTTTCAGACGAAGCGTTTTTTAGAAGAATTCAGAAGTGATCGATGGAAACGCGGTACAAGTCAGGTTAGATTTAAAGTGTGTCCTTGAGACAGAGCTTTACGTTAACGCGGAATAATCACTTCCTCTCTTTTTTTCAACACTTTCGAAACGATTCTCCGTTTGTCGCTGGGAGAAGGTCATCGTTCAAGATAATAGTAACTCGTAATACTTGGGTCTTAACAGATCTTAACCTTTATCGTGTGCGAGATTGGTTCCAATGGTCCATACCTTTTGTCATTTATTGCTCTGTGAAGTTTCAAGTTGAATCATAGTAATTTCCCGCGAAAGTATTGAGCGCGAAGCGTGCATCACTACTTGGCGCTTGAAAACGCAAAGAATACTGTTACTGACTCGAAAAGAAAAAAAAGAAAAAAAACAATGCGAGTGAACGAATAAATCGAACCTTCGGCCATTGTAAGTCGACGACGCTTTTTAGAAAATTCATTACGATAAAGGCTATATCCGTTCGTTAATTAGGATTTGGTCAGCGAAATCACATTCGATTTCTATATACCACCGTTTACGTTTGGGTTATAATACACGTTTAGGTTTGATTACTTCGTGCTAGGATTTACTCCGTAAAATTATCGTGTCGCGCACGCGACGTTTCAATACTTTTGTCACGCCGCGTGTCCATACCTTCATAAATACGTGTCCGAATGATTTGTATTTGACGATATAGTGTAGTTCCTGCTTCTAACTCGGGCGGGGTAAGCGCAATATTTTGTCGGACCAATTTTCGTCCGTACTCTGTTCTCGCGTTTCCATTCTTTCGCTTTTTTTTTATTATTCAGTTTTCCCAACGTCGTCGTGATTTTACTTGAAAATCCGATCCGGATCTTCGACGATACTTGGTTTTAAAATATTCTCCTCGGTGATGAATTTAAGCGAAAGAACGAAACGTACGTTTAAAGAGTAAACTGGGCACGAGGGTCATTGCAAGTACTGTCAATTTTCGACGAATCTAGCAACTAGATCGATATTATCGTTCGGATATGCCGGATACGAAAAGTTTTCGTGGGATATTTGATACGTATCCTACTGACAGGTACACAGAGATTAATCACGAGGTCGAAATTTGCGGAGAATATATCCTGCAATGGCCCTCGCGATCGTGTTCTCTTTGGTGTTCCTCCATATATGAAACTCATGAGTGTCAAAGGAATCTCTGTTGTCAGTCTATGAGCTACAAAAATTGCGTGACTTCTAAACATCGAGTTTGTATTTTTTTTCTTTTTTTTTTCATTTTTTTTTTCTTTTTTTTTTTTTTTTCTTGTTCAATTGCCATTCACGTTGCCCGTAAAGTTGTTCCGGTAACCACTTGCCGATTGCTCTTCGTGTTCGGCTCGACCAGCGAGCCTTGAAACGATTGTCTACCGTTAAATAATTGAAACGTCGAAGAAGTCGTCTCGATCTATAAGTTTCGCTGTTTTTTTTATGGTTTTATTTTTCTGTCATAATCGAGAGAATTCTGACTCGTGTCAATCAAATTGCATTGTATTTACCTCGATCACGAGATGCTACTTTTGCTACTTTAATCGAGTAAAACTTGTATCGAGATGCTTCTTCCACGAACAGAAATACTTAACGATGTGTTCGCCGATGAACGTGCACGTTTGTTTCACCGAATGCAAATCGGTTCGTATCGGTTAGCCACGAGACTCGATCGAATCGCAAACAGCTGGATCAACCAGAGCACGTGTTTCCGTGACAGATGTCGATCGTCTCTCGTATTGTATTTCCGTCGTTCCTTAATTTATGGGAAAAATGGACCCTCGTCGTCTCTTTAAGACGTGGCATCTTCGTTCTCCTCCTCCATCTCTCGCTTTTTAATAATTCATGAAAAAAATATAATTTCTCTCGTGTTGCTTTTTTTTCAATTATCTCCTCGTTTTATTATTCTTTCATTCTCAGTTCCGTAGGTTGCCCTCTGTGGAATTGATTTGCAGAGGTACACCCTTATTGCTAGAACATTCGTGGATATTCGTGAATAAGTTTCAGAGAACGTGAAAAATATCGACTTTTTGCCCTGCCTTGCGTCAAAGTCGTTCTAGAAAACGACACAGAATCATTTAAAATCGACTACCCACGAAAGATGATCAGAAAGGAATAACTGCGTTTCTATTGATCACGATGATAAATCATCGATCATCGGATTTGATTGTCTTTCAGCTGAATGTCGTATGGTTACAATAACGTAAATGGAAATATAGCATTTGTACGCATTGGTCAATTTATGATGCAATGGAATCTCGATGGTCGAATTTTTTTTTTTTTTTTTTGTTGCCAACAGTGAAAATAACAGCAATAATGGAGATACGATCGTTACGCGATTACCTATAGAGATGGCCTTAAATGTATTACATTATAAATACATTGCGGATCTCTATGCAATTTTATATTTTTTCGAATACAAAATAAACGGAGTCTAAGCAGAAATTTGTTTATGCTATAAAATATTGTAACAAGTATTTCGATATTTTTGCATTTTCTGCAATTTTACATTCTTAAATTTTTCACAGATACAATGACAGTCCGCAGTTCAAATATCAAGGTTTAATTCTGACTGGAAATTTTCGAATATCAATTATTTTTATAAAATAATTCTAGATGAGATGGATTTCGAATTCTTTATCGATAGATACATTGAGACATCTAACTTGCTATGAAAATACTTTGAAATATGTAAACATCTCTTTCAAGTTTAAGTCAAATTCAAAAACATAAATGAATCATCATCATTTCAACCAGAAGATTGCAATTCTTTTTTTTTTTTTTGTTTAATATTGAATTTAATACTGAATTAAAATTAATCGGTGTATGGTTAGTTCCATTTTGTAGGTTCTTCGCTTTTCAGGTTCGAATAGAAGTGCATGTTATAAAGTACAAATTTGATTGAAAAGTTTCGAATATCTGATCAATTTTATAAAATACAAACATTTAAAAAAACTCCGAATCTAGGTAAGATAAGTTTCGAGCACATCAATGAATACTTTGAGACATCTAAGTAATTTTAAAAGTGCTCTAAGATATCTAGGTGATTGCTTCAAGCGAATCAAATTCAAAACTAATTTGCGATCAAGTATTTAAATAGTTTTAAATACTGAATTTAATATTGATCTTGAGTGAAAAATCAAAAAATATTCTCCCCTTTTTGGATTCGAATTACAATTTTTGTAAAATTTCATTCTATGTTACGTGTAAATATATTTCTCGGATTTTACAGACACTTGTTTTGAAAATCCAAACTGGCTCAATATTCATAACCCACGTATCTTACAAATACAAAGAATGAAACGTCACTCTTGTATAAATAATAAATTGAATCTCATAAAACGAGGTTTCAGTTTTAGAATCGGCTTGGATTTATATAATAAATACCTACATTTGATATTTTGATCCCATTGCTAGTTATCTATTAGGCTATCATTATTGCTCACTGTCTCGACCATGGACGTTTCATTAGCGAACGTAACTCCATTGCTGTTTGCCTACGTGCTCACTTAGGCCCTTTGTTCCTTGCTCGATGAGCTGTAATCTAGTTTGACCATTAACAAATTGCCCGTCATCGAATCGTGCCCGTGACGTGCTCGACAGTCATCGAGATTCTGAAGTGCCAAGTCGTCGATACGATTTACACATCATGAAAGTACGCGTCAGGGAATCCTTGGGTTGGAAAGTTGATTGAAAAGAAACAGTGAGAGAACATAAGAGTGTAAAGTGAAGGGAGCAGAAGGAATGAAGATGGTTGGAGAAAACGGAGCGTTTCAGGGTTCCATCAAGAGATAATTTTGATGACAGACTCGTTCTCATCCTTGAGCAGAAGGCTCAGTCTGAGGTCGAGCTCTCCGGCCTCGAGGGCCCATTTTTCCCTCAGCCATCAAGGAGAGTCCGCGGTTTGAGTGCCAAGCGTATGAATCGGGAACAAGGGATACCAATCGACGGTCAACCGAGTCAATGGAAGATGATCGAGGCTCACTTCGGCACCGCCTAAGCCTTGATTACTTTCGAATGCCTGCTTCTTCTCCCACAGCATAACCAGTAGATTTCTTCCAAGAGCGTCGCAGCTGCCGTATTTGATAGTCTGACGATATTGCGGATTCCTCGAGTGCCGTATTACGCGTGTTTTACGCTTTTGTAGCCATCTATCGCCGTCACGGAGATAGGTTTTCACGTAGGTGTCTGCAGAGAGAATTGTGTCGGTTATTAATGATTGTTTTATGCGCGTAGCATAGCGTACTGACGAGAGATGTATTTTCTTTTTTCTTTTTCTTTTCAATTTGACGATTTTACTATTATTAGGCCATTGCAAATGAAATGAGTTCTCGCGACAAAAGTTCTCAAGCAATTTATAGCTTTTTTTTTTTTGATAATTCGTATTATGCATGCATTGCGAATAATAAAATTTCATACTAATTAAAACTTTTAATTGAGTATAAAGATAGTTTCTCAGACACAGACATTAATCTTATGGTCGATGTTTAGTATGTTAAATTAAAGCTTTGTGCATCGCTCTAATACAAAATGAAACGATAGATGAAACATCAATTATGATACGTTCGTAATTAGCATTAAATTAATATCTAATAAATGTCGTTGGATTTTGAACATTATTAAATTCATATTATTTGAATCACTGTGAATCAAATTGAAATCGACCACTTCAAACACAATAATCTGATATGTATCGCAAAGATTTTAGAATTGAGATTTCTGAGCAGTGTTTCTGAACAAAGTGCATTAAATGGTGTTTAATAACATGTTAATTAATCATCGATAAAGCTGTTTGCAAGATCAACGCTTCCTTCTCAAAGACACGTTCTATGTCCAAACAGTTTGATACTATTGTAGATTTATTTCTGTTAGTAAATATGGAATATAGAAGATATCTTACGTATTTTTCACTTTAAGATATACAGAGTGTTAAGGGAAATAGGAGTGAGAGTTCAACATATAGCGCTTAAAGATTCCATTTCTCTTTGGATAGCAATACTAAGCTAATAAGGAATTTTTTCACTTTCGTATGTAGTTTCAAACATCACATACTTTGTAATATTTTATTGAAATGTACAATAAAATGCAGGACATGTTGTACTATATAGTGAGAAGTACTAACATCTCTTGTAGTAATAGTTTAATAATATTTAATTTGTATACAGTATTTTCTTGTAGGAATATCTACAAAAAAATGAGTTCATAATTTTTGCATACATATATGAATGTTATATTTCAAGAAAAAGAAAATAAACGAATGGTTCTATGACTATTTTGTTAATATTGGTGACAATAAATATTTATTATGTTTCTTTAAAGAAAATAATTTCACAGTAACTACTGTTCTTGTACTCAATGTATTATCAAGAGACGTATTTAAGTTATTCGCAAATATAGTTGTTTATTACTTCAATTTCAAGAAAATTGTCTTTACATTCAAAAGTTGATTAAGGTCGAACACCTCCCTTTTTTATCTAAACTATTTTAGATCTTCATTTTTTAACACCCTGTGTATACAAGTTTTAAAAAATCCTTATTTTAATTTAAATATAATGTTAATGAAAAGTTCCCCGAATTAGATGAAAAGTCGTGGGCATTAGTCAAAGATATTTCGGTGTGAAAAAAGGTCAGAAAATTACCTGGCTCATCTTTCTCGCCTGGACAAATGTCTCTAGCGCATATAACCTCGACTTCGAGCGTTCCCTTGCTTAGGCAGAAACCCAGTTTCACCTCACCACTTTGACCTCCTAAAACCCATGAAAAATTCACACAATTTTGACCCAGGGTTTCTCAGAAGGAGACCATCGATAAATTCATTGTTTCTCCTTTCTATGAAAAATTCTGTATTAATACGAATAATATAAAAGAATGGGAATGGAAAAGTTATTTTCGCAATTAAGTCGGAATTCTTAAAACGCGCGAATTCGTAGATCTTCATCAAATTCTTTACCAGGTATCATCTTGAATCCCTTCGGTGGCACCTGTCCGCGACCCAGCTTCGCGTCAACGCCATTTTCATTTCTCGCTGACTGACTAAAAGTGAAAGAGGACAAACATACGAGTCGAGATTAGTACACCATGAAATGAAATAAAAGCAGAGGTGTACGATAGGATAACTCTAAAAAATGAGAGGCTAAAGTGAGCGTATTTCAAGACTAGAAAAGCTAAAAGAAACTAGGAGAATAATAATACTAATACTAAAAAGGGAAGCCTACTTTACAATTTCATCGTTTTTATCGTTTGTACTGACATGAGTGATAGAAAGTGTTTTATCGTGTATTTGGAAAGTAAGTGATATTAGGTTTTTAGAAAAAAAAAAATTTATAGTTTGTGTTGAGCTTTTCGTTTCATTTATGACGGTCGTTCATAATTTCGAGAACCGTATCGTATTATATTCACGTTGTTAGTTTAACGAGTTGTTTATGTCATTTTTTGATACTCGATTTTTTATGGGCATACTATAATTTTGTGGCTTTGAAATCAATGAAACAAGACATAACCTTCTCTTTTAGTGACACATATAAACCGAGGAAATCATTCAGCAGTTAATAAAAACATAGATAGTAAATATGTTATACGTATAAATTTAACAAAACATAATACTAATAGAAAATAACTAATTAATCTATATATCTAAGAAATTATAATTTTTGTGTAATACAGAAATAATACGAAAAAGTAAAAAAAAAAAAAAATAGAATCAATACGAAAATGTATAATTAATATAATATGATCATGATAGTGACGTGATATTATTGTTTATAATGCAACAAGAATTTTTACGTAATTGGAACTATTAGAAAATTAAATAAAAGTATTCTAATCGTTGAGTTATATAATATGAAAATAATAATTCCAATTCTGAAATTACAAATAACGTGAAATTAATTAATCATTTATGAAATGATAACGAATAGACTATACTTTTAGTTTCTAGTACAAAACCATCATATCATATTATCCTAAGAAGATAGTAGATAAAAAGATCTTGTTTTAATTTTATTCAAATTTTATTCAAATTTTATTGAAAAATCAGATTTTATTAGATAACAGTTTCAGGAAACATTTAAAAATATTTCTTGAAATATTACAACAAAATTCTTTTTATTCAATATCTCCTCGTGATATTGCAATTTCAATTTTAAATATTTAACGCGACCTTGGAGTAATCTTGAACAATATTCCCTAATATTTCTTACAAATTCCTATTATTTCTTTCTTATTTAAAAAAAAGAAAAAGAAAAGAAAGAAAACGAAACCAAGTTAAATAAAGGCCGCAGTTTTTATTTATACATATATTCCTTTGTAGGCAGCTTACCTCCACTTGTCTTCCTCTTCTGATTCACTGTTGCGATCATAAAACCTCTCCGGAATATTCATGATGCTGTCTTTGCGCTCACCCCGCCCTGTGAGTTAGAGAAAAATATTTCCTTTCTGTGACCTGTGCATCTCGCGATTACCCACCCAGCAACCTGCATGCCACGTGATATATAATACTTTCCGCCAGAGTAACACGTTGATTTTTCTGTTTCCTTGTTATCTCGTAAAAACTGAAAAACGGTTGTATCTCTCAGTTTGTCTCTCTTTCGTCGTGGCTGTAAGCAGTGTCATGTAGATTGCCGAGGAGTCGTTGCTCGAGATCCATTTTATGCATAAAATCTGGCTGTCTACTCGGGGATTCATACTTTTCGAACAAAAGCCTTACGTCTTACAATCAACGAAGCTCTCAACTTACGTATTTATATGTCGCATGTTCGCGAAAAACTGTATCGAATACTTTTGACTGTGCGTATTTTTATCATGTTTGTGACGTGTGGAGTAAATAGGATTGAAATGTCATCCGAGCAGTTACATTTTCGCTATTTACGACTTTGACATATTTAACAATGTTAAATGCCTAGACGAAACTAATGTTTAAATATTAAAATGTTTCCGAACGAAAATTGTAGTTTAGCATTAAACTGACATATCATCCCTAAAAGAAGTACTGATTTTCAGAATATTAAATTATTTTCAAACGAAAATTACAGTTTAGTATTAAACTGGCACAGCATCCCTAGAAGAAGTACTAATTTTTAAGGTGTTAAAATATTTTCGAAAAAGAGGTTAAAATTTTTCGTAATTATACAAACATAAATTATAGATGAACAGAGATAGTTGGTTATCAATCCTTTGCAGTTTCATTGATTACGTATTGATAGACAGGTTCACGTTAATTTCAAAAATAAAATAAATCTAAATCAACAGAATGAAACATAATTCTATTCTAATTAAATTTCCATTGGAACAAGATTTTCAGAATATCTGGGGCATTGGTTCGCAAAGGATTAATCTCTGTAGAAATTTTGTAATTCTGCGTATATTAAAAATGGTATTGTACAATTCAAGGTTATCCGTGTGTCTTAAATGTACATTATTATACTAACTACTTACACATAAATGGAAAGAAAATTGAAAAAAATGTTCGAGAGTTACAAGTTGTGCCACTATAGTTGTAAATGAGTGGTGTGCAGGGTAAATGATGTAAGGGGATTGTAAATTTGTTCATACCAGTATCTACGTCTAATAAGAATAATGCATCTAATAATACTGCTACTTTTAATAAACTACTCTCGCTAAAGTGAAGTATAAGATAAAAAAAAAAAAGTTGTTCAAAACTACCGTACGATTAAAGATAAAGGTATAAAAAGAAAAGCATCGAGAGAGTATCGATAAATTGAGAATTAGGACGACAAACCACACTGAAGCCTACTTACGGTCTTTTCTTAGCTACATGTTGCAAAACTCTAGCTAAGAATGGAACGGGCACGTCAATTTCTTCAATGTCTACGAAATTACCGCAATTACGAGGTTCACATTGCTGTTTATATAGTTACTAACTACTGTCTCAAGGATATTTAGGTAATTTAGTGTGCTGATAGATTGTAGAAACACGCATGACAGTTGTACTATTAGTCTTCCGATACAGCAACGTTAATCGTATAATAATTGGCTTCTATCTAATCAAAGTGAATTAACATTTGAGTTGACTTCCATTTTACGCGTATTACGATAGAATAGCTAATTTTCATAAAATAGAATGATAGCTATTACAATAAAACTTTGTTATTGCTAATGAAAATATTATTTTATAATATTACCTGATATTATTTACGTATTTCATGCTATTGGTATTCTTTTAACAATTTTTCGTTGATGATATTCAATCTGATTTTAATAATTTCAAAATATCAATCAGATAATTTCTGATTTGTCTGATATTCCTTTTGTGAAATATCAATTGTTTCCGATTATGGTTACTGTATCTTCTAATTTGTTTTCATTGTTAAATGAACTTTGAGAACTAAATTAAAGCAGTTAGCCGCAACATAAAATCACTCATATAAAATTAGCTTTTACACAATGAAAATGAATTAATTTATTTATGAGATATTTAACTACCTTAAAGCTTGAGATTATGGTATCCTCCGATTTCTTTTCATCGTTAAATGAACTTTGAGAATTAAATTAAGTCATTCTAAAATAATGTTAATATTGTGTTACATTACACTATTAATATGTAATATAATACAACACATTATTAATATGTAATACGATTGCTTCTCTTTCTGTTTGTGTACAACACGTGTAACAAACTCATTTTCGATGAAGTATTAAATCACTTAAATTTTACCATTCTTCGTTCTTATTTCGCTATTATACATCAACGTTTAATAGCTAGTGTTTAGTAATAGTAACGTTCGAATAGATATGTAACAAACACGTCAGAAATCTGTCATCAAGCATGTATGGTACGAATACCGATAGTCTGGTTGGAATCTATCGGAAGATTATGGCAGGATTGAAATTAATGGGTCAATTTGCGGTATATTTGATGATCAAAGCAATAGGCTACAGACGTATCTCTTTGCATTATCATTTAATTGAGAAAATTTCACTTATAATTGGAATTCTTTGCGGCAAAATTTAGTGAACTAATGAAATTATACGAAATTATTGCAAAAAAAACTCATAAGAAATTTTTTAAATTTTCATAAAAAGATATATTATTCTCATACTGCTTTCCTTTGTACTATATAATTAATATTAATAATTATTTTATACGTATTTTCATATTATATCTTTCCCCTTACTCGTATATAGAAGCAAGTAGTATAGATCAATCATTGGTGCATCATTGTAGCTGTATCAGTTAATTGGTATCATTGGCTATTAGAAGATATAATAATGTAAGATAAATCATATAACAGAATTCTTAAATTATCAATTTAATTTAATTTTGTCACTATTGCAAAAAATATTACGAAATATGAAGTAAAATGAGATATTCAAAATATAAGTTAAATATAAAGTTAAATACATTAATTATATCAGCTTTTATGGTTGAATGTATAATTTATAATTGTTATAAATTACATTAATATATAATATTACATTATTATATTTTTATTGTAAATTACAATTGGCAAATATATAAATATATCTTCATTTTCTTCTAAATATTTCTAGTAGTTTAACGATTAATTTTCTCTTCTCGAGAATTATTAAAAATATTCGTAAATACGTTCTTTTCGACAAACGAGTTTCCGCTCTCAAAGTGCATTCAAAGATCAGTTTTCCTTACCATGATTGTAGATATAGCAACGAGTGGTTAGCGATCAATTTTACTGCAATGATAAGCGAGCATTTTAAATCTCTAAAAGCTCTATCGATGCAAGCAGGCAGAGGATCGGCGTAAAAAGTTGGAGCAGGAGTAAAATTACTACGCAGTTTACGAGTAATTTCCTACGAATGTACCTTGATGGAAATTTACTGAATGCAGGACACCTTTAAATATTGGAACACACTTACATTTAGAACAACGTTCCGAACGAAATACAATAATCCGCGGGAACGGTTCGAACTAGTTCCCTTTTCATATTTTTTTCTCAACTTTCTCTTAATCGTAACAAAAGCTTCTCCATTCAGAGGCAACTCCGTTTCAATAGAAACAACAGCAAGAAACAAAACACGCGTTGCCTTTTTTGAATATTTCTTTCCGAGCATAAAGTATATTTATATTCTACGTAAAAAAGAATATCAATGAAAATCTTTCTAAAAAAAAAAAAAAAAGAAAAAAAGAAAGAGAACACTCGTCCATTGTTACAAAGTGGAAGAGTAGAGAAAAAGATAAATGTAGGAACGAAACGCGAGATAGAAAAAGGGAGTTTTAAAATATAACGGAGAACCGGAAATAACGTTTGCGTTTATAACCGGAATGGGCAAACGGATACAGAAGAAACGGATAGGCAAGGCAAATGTGTGTCGGCATATAGGCAGAGAAAGAGAGAAAGGGGCGGAGAGGGGAAAAGGGAAGGAAAATAAGATAACAGACGGACAGAGCGAGACTAGTGGAAAATAGAGAGAGAAATAGAGAGAAAAATAGAGACAGAGAGAGACAGAGAGAGAGAGAGAGAGAGAAATATGTGGAGAGATAGAGCGAGGAGAGAAAGCGAGAAAATGTATCTTACCGGAAGCCCGTGACGGTGGTGCACAGTGTCCTGTGGTTATTTATCGAGGTGGTATGGAGTGCGGCAGTGGGAAGGAGGCCGAGTTACCGGTCCTCGGAGATACAGGCTCGCACTGCCACACAGTAACCGTTGGGACTACGCACGCTGTTGTCGTTGATCGATGATGTTGTGGTTGGTCGGTCGATCGAGCCCACGATTCGTCGTCGATCGGGGTAGTCGGGATGGTGACGATGGCCGACGGCGTTTCGACCGAGCGAACCGAGCATTTTGATCGACCGTGTACGCATGTCAGAGATTGCCGGACGGTGCCGACCGAGAAAGGAGATCAAGAAAAATCAACAAAGAGACAAAACAGGCAGAGACACACTCGCGCGGCGTTCTTCGTCAGGCGGATCATGAGAGAAGACGAACACTCAGTAATAGTGAAGAACACGATCAGCGCAATAGCTTTTGGCAACTTGGTGTTTGCTTGGTGTTTCAGCGTGGAAAAAACACGTGAAACCTAATGAGGCCTAATGACGTGTATCATATATATATATATATATAGGTTTTGGCGTTTGTTGTTCTTTTTTTTTTTTTTTTCTTTTTTTGGATTTTGGTTTTTTTGAACAGCAGTCGAGAAAACTCACAAAGAGTGGCGTGCAAAGGCCACACATACGTACGTATGCATTGTATGAAGGAACATCGGGAGCGGGAGAGAAGGATCATCCTTCTCCCCTCCTCCATCCGCTTTCGATCTCCTCCGTTCGTGAATTCCTTTTCTCTACTGTTTGCTCAAGGCAGCCTTTTTCTTTGCCAACCACTTTGTTTCTCGGTCTTGTCGGATGACTGATCGGATCGTTGGTGTCTTTAGGCTGGCACAGGCGACAGTACTCAGCGACAGGCAACAGCGGCGCAACAGCGATCGCACAGAGATGAGCATAGAGCACAGATTATTGCGACGAATGAACTTTTGGAAATGCCAGCTTCTCCAATGAATAGATAGACAGACAGACAGAGATAGGATGACGCGATTTAGCACTGTCCGAACGCGAAACATCCGGCTGCGTTCTAGCCGATCGCACTTCCTGTATTGTTAGGACTGAGTGACTCGCTCGTTCCGAACGATTAATCCCTTTCGAGCCTCGGCTTGAACTTTGTGATTATTCGCAAAACACGTGAGAATTTATCGTTTGCTCGAGTTTAGGTTAGAGTCTAGGTTGCATCGACGTCCAAGTTTTCGTTCTTTCGAATTGCGTGTCTATAACGTATACGTATGCACATATATACACCACCGTTCAGAAATCTTTGGACAAGTGCCATATACGTATAACAAAGATACTACAATAAATATAAATTGCGTACAGTGAAAACAATATTTACAATATAAATTGCGCAATATAAAAGTATAAATTAATATGATACAGTGTAATGTGTTCTATAATATAATATAATGTAATTGAATATAATAAATATAAAACTCTGTTGATATATGAATATATTGTATTACATTATAACTCACGATGAGTATTAAATATTAAAAATAAAAGTGTCCCAAGACTTTTGAACGGGAGTGCACGTCGAAGAAACTTCTCACGTACACATTTATACGTGATTTTCACGATGTCGGTGTCATGTTAACAAAACGATTCGGTAATAAATATCTTAATCTACAACCAAGTTTACGGCGCAATAAAATTACTACTGTCGTGATGGACCAAAAATAAATCGTTTGTATTTTTCTGACTTAAAAATTTCAAAATTATACAATTTAACTCTAAATTGTTATACGCTCTAATGGTAATTCAACGATGCCAATTGAGAGTTAACGATCGTCGTATAGACGTGGCAAATTAAGAGAATCGAAGAAAATAAATAGCGAAATGATCGACACATGACAAATCGTTATACTGGTTCTTCAAGGCTAATAATAAGAGTACGTTAATCGTTCTTTCTCTAATTTCTCGTTCTGTCGATGCGTCAAAGAACGCAAGGCTCCCTTCCAGGCCGATCCGTTTCAGGCTCGATTTACCTTGCTATCATACAAGCGAGAACGCACGGGGACTAACTTGGACGAAAAGAACTGTTAGGTTGGCATATGTACCTGTTCGCTCGGTCAAATCGCGCGAGATCGATGGGACGTGATTACACGGAGGCACACGGAGAAAAGAAAGTAGAGAAACAAACAGACACGTGAAGTAAAACGAGTGAAAGACGAGAAGAAACATGATATATCGCACAGAAAACACATACAAGTGTAAGGTAACAAAGACTCGCGCGAATGATATATGAGAAAATGCAGAAAAATGTACACAAATGATACGGACCTACACATATACATAATGTACAAGTGTAACAACAATTTTCGTTGGACTTGTCAGTCGAACGCTTGAAATTTGAAACAAGATTTGAAGCAAAGAACGAGAGAATTTTGCTCTCGTTTGGAGTGGAACAGGAGATGGCTGGCCCGACGATGGCGAAGAAAAACGCATCGCTGAAGAGATTTATTTACGTTCGTTATTACGATTCCAAGAAGTTCGTTTCGCAGACGATGTTTCAATTAAGCCTGCGTGTAAATACCGAAAAATAAACTTGTCGAAAAATACGCTCTTCGTTCGCCGCTTAAAATCTCGCCTTGCTTTGCGTTTCGTCGTGGCAAAAAGGAAGGAGAACTGCAGTCGCAGTTTCTCTACGTTTGTAATAATCAACTATTTCCAACAGAGAAGCGCGGCTTCTACGTAACAGAAGTCGCCTCTCGAATTCAACGAAATCGAGTTAACTCGGATTAAATCGAATCAAGGCGCGTGATAATCACTCTAGCCAACTCTAATTCAGTTTACCTTGCCCCTCCCTACACGGATACATGTACGTCCGTGCACACATACATTTATTCGCATGCGTACGATACGCACGGCGCCGGCCGACGTGGAAGATTCGATCTGCTCTGGTGGACCGAGGATGGATCGAGCCGATCGACGATCCAACGATCGAGAGAGAACGGTGGTGGTGAGAAAATAAGAGAGACAACGAGAGACAAAGAAAGTGAGAGCGTGTGTGTGTGTGTGTGAGAGAGAGAGAGAGAGAGAGAGAGAGAGAGAGAAAGAAGAGAAAGAAGAGAAACAGAGACGAAGGAATATATAGAAATAAATCGACGAGCGCGTGAAAGACAGTCAGACAGATAGACAGACAGACAGACAGACAGGCAAACAATTGCACGGATGAATGAACGATTTGACGGACGGACGGACGGACGAACGAATGGTTAGGCGAAATGATGAGGCCAAGAGAGAAGCAACGTAACCATACTCACGGCTCTCGCGTCTTTTGTCTCCGGAGAGACTCATCGTTCTGCCAAGCTCCCTCTTGGCCGCTTTCAATGATCGTAGACCTTCCAGAATTTCTTCGGGATCCCTCATCGGCCTGGTAAACGAGCTTCGCCGTCGGTCCCGATTGTAGTGCACTATAGCCGGCATGTCGGCCTCTCCCATACTTCCGCCTGGAAAATCGAACGTCACCATTTTGTAGGTTATTAATGTTGAAAGCTTTGCCGAATTTTGATATTTGAAGAAACAGTGGTATGACATGATGTAAATATTGCTATGGAATTCACACGTTAGAATAATTCATATAGTTGTTTATTTATAATATGCGTAAATTATATTATTTCGTGTGCTAAATACGTAACTGAAAGTTTTCAAAGTTTCTTAGTTTCAAGAGATTCTGAATTAACAACGTATTAATAATTTCAAAGTTAATAATACTTAAAGATTTAAAAAGAAGTTAATGATACTTGAAAGAAGCTAATGAATATTGAATGTGAACGTTAGTTATATTCCGAGCCTCTGTGCACTTTGAAGACACTGATTGAGAAATTGAGTAAACAGAAATGAATTAGCGAGATCCAAGGGTAGCTTTGAAATCGAAGACACTAGAAAATAGAATCTGTTCATTTGAGGACAAGGACGTAAACGAGGAGAAGTGCCATGGGTGACCTGAAATTTCCACGACGATATCTCGTCTCGTTGGCGGTTTGATTTCCGACCTTGACCTGGTTTTTTACAATATATAAAGTTAAACAAGCTTGATTCAATCTGATCTAGATCCTACTGATTTATCATTTTACAATTTCTCGAGTTGTACATTTATACACAAGAAAAAAACATTTTCTTAATAAAATATATGAGGTATATATAAAACATAAATAAATGTATCAAAATGTGACAAAATAAAATATAATATTTTGATGAAATGATAATATTGTGACGAAATTTTTCGAAAGAAGGAAGAATCTTTCGTCTTATTGTCCATTTTTAAGTTGTGATAGAATTTCCATTGAATAAATTATAAAAAATTATCTTTTTAATTATTAAATTTAATAATTTTTACAAAGTAAATTTCCTTGCAAAATTTCTTGTAAATATATCATACATCTTGGGAATATATCATTCTTTATTTAACTTATAAAACATAAATTTTATGAGTTGAGAAAATAACTCTTGTGGCAACTCTTTTCTAAATAATTGTTAAAAATAAATTAATATTAAAACTTTGGTTTTGGTTAAAATTCTTACATTAGTTTTTACATCGCTTCTAAATTATGTTCTTGATTTTATGTCACTTTTGCATTTGATTTTTCAAATTGTATCAATTGTACATAATCAAAGTCATATGTTTTTAAAAATAATCCAATGTATATATATTTTTTATTACTTGTTTTTATTTTATAATTACTTAACCACGACGAATTACAATAAACATTTTTAGATTCGAAAATTACGTTTCATCAAAGAACTGTACGTTCCATATTGCACGTTTATACAGTATTTCATAGTAACTTTCATTTTTTTTTTTTCTTTTTCCGAAATGTCCTTCACAAACTCGGAATACAAAAGACTTTCTTGAAGTAATATGAATTTTAAATTTACTTTGAAAAATCCTTCCTCCTTTGAATTTTGAGATGTAGCTTTGTGGAAATTTATTTTACTTCCTACGTTCTACGGATATAACGAGAACTTTCGATACAGAAATGAAAAGATTGAAATGCCAACGAATATTCACTGAAATTTTAGCGAGAACTACTGGAAAATAATGGTCTCTCGTTCAGCCTTCAGATTAAAATGTATGTTCTTATATTCATGTTTGACTTTTTCCGAATATCGACATTTCGATTATCTATCTTGCTTTTCACACTTGTTATGTACGTATTTTTCAATAACATTTCATTGTTCGTAAGAATAAATATACTAAAAATTGATGAAAAGATTCTAAATTTATTCAACGCGTATATTATTATTTTTAATTTTTCAATTTTTCAACAATGATAGAAAAATACTTATATATTTACTTATTTTTAAACAAACTGACAATATTATTGCAAAATAACAGAATCAAATAAAATGATGTATTATGTGAATAATCATTTATTAAATATTTCATATAAGTCTGGTATACAAGCACTTTTATCTAGTATCACTTGCAATCCTTTACTTCCAATACATATTACGATAGTTAATAGTATTTAATACTATTTAATAATATCTTTCATGGAAATTATATATATTTAATATTAGTGTGACATTCGAATAATGTATATTATAATGTAATTTAAATAATCTGATATGTTCAGTTTTTAAATTTATATAAAATTTATATTTAATTAATTCCTTAAATTCAATTAAAATTCAAGATTCCTTTTCATTATTATAAAAAAGTAAATTAAAATTACAACAAATACCAAACTTTACCATATATATATATCACGAAATATATATATATGAATTTATATGAAATTATCTTAATATTTAATTGATTCTGGATGTTGTATTGGATCGAATGATAGATTCACTCTTCAATTTCTTCTGCAGTACTTGTCAGAATATTTCATTTCACATAAAATAGAAAAAGCCGTGCAATTTTAAATCCAATAATTATTGTTTTATCTCAGGTAAAAAGTTTCAAAAGTATAAATGCTTTATAAAAAAAAATTGTATGAAAATCGATTGACATTTTACTAGAAATGACTTTTATACCATTGAAAAAAAGAAGAAATTGCTACATAATTTAATTCTAAGATTCGCTAAATAGTTAATTTTAAGAAAAATTATTCTCCTACACTCACTCGAAATATTCACGAAAAATTTTCTGAAAGATATATTTCCAAGTTACGACTATTTTTACCTCTTCGGTGTAAATGATTGTCGATAAAAAATGCGTTTTAAACATTTTTTTTATAAAGTGTCTCCCACATAAATCCCATAAAAATTTACGCGTAAGTTTGACAAGTCCCTTCATAAACTATTCGGTTTTGTTGGTCGTTATTTTTAGGTAGATATTTTCGCGTCATAAAAGAATTTATTCTATTCATTTATTTTACATTGTCGTATTTATATGTCGCTAAATATATTTCTGGATTAATGTACAATATTTCCAATCGTGGATGTTTAGGGTGATTATCGGAAATTCGAATTTGCACAATTGCATGTACACCATGTACTACATGTATGTGTGGTACTCATTTGTTTATTGAATGAAACACGTCTCTGCTTAAATTCTATCTTTTCTATCGTGCGCACAAAAAAATAAATTTATTTAGATAAGTATCTTTAATCTAGTTGTAACTAAATGTAGTATGTTTATTTTTATACTACGAGAAGCAAAAACTAATTGAACTGTAATGAGAAGATCATTCACTCCTTATCTATATCTCTATATCAGGCCCATCTTGGATCGTACGAATTTTTTTTATGAATTAAAAATAAGATACAAGTCGGATTATGTATTATATATTATGAAACATATTGTTAAATTACAAAACCGGAGTTGTATCTCATTTGTGTCCAATGAAAAAATAGGATATGAAATTTTAGGGTGTAGAGAGTCATTGTAAAGGGAAGGCTTTAATTTTCAAACTCATAGCAGATTCAGTTGTGAAATAAATTGTTCAATATTTCTACACACCATTTTCTTCATTATATAATATGAAATATTTCAGAAAAATATGAAAGATTTAAAAATCTTTAAAATCGAGCTCTCGTGTCGATTGTTTTTACAGTTTAAACAATTTTTCAAGTCACACTGACTGTACTTCTGTTATTTACACGTAAGAAACACGAATCATCTGGTTGAAAGGATTTCCAATTTCTAAAATTGGCAGCGTTAGTCTGTGTTAGTCTCTACAGAAGAAGTAGAGAAAAGTTCATCGCACGTATGGCTAGACTATTCGTAAAGGGTGCAAAAAGTCTGGGAAAGAAATCAATGAAAGTGCACTTACGTTTACTGTCGGTGCCGCCTTGGCTTTGGAAACTGCTTCTTCTGCTGCCGGGCAAGGATCTGCTGTAATCTCGGTTAAGTTCGTACGGTTCGACTTCCAGCTGTTCGGATTGGCTGGAGCCTCTTCTAGAATTTGCATGCCAAGCGTGATCCGGATGCAGGAAACCGAGCTCCGGACTTCCGCTGTCGCTCTGTGTATCGTCGCTGTAACTTCTTTCGCGCAGTTCGGTCTTTCGCAGTAACCTTTGGGCAATTTCCATAGAAAGGGAGCCACGGGGAGAACAGTAGGGCGATTTGCTTGTACGAAGGCCACGAGGATCTTCTAGTCGATACCTGCGAAATATTCCGATAATTTTTATCGTCACATATCGTCAAACACATCGAAAAGTAGTACGTACATTGTTTTCCACGAGTCTAAAAGTATTAAGTTCACACATAAATGAAAGGATGTTTTAACAAGTGTTTTATAGTGTCGTCAATATCGTTATAGTATAATATTATATATATATATATATATACTGTACTATATAGTATATTATATAATATTATATAATATAATAGTATAAAATACTATACTTTATATAGTATAATAGTATAAAATTAATTACATATTTATATAATTACATATTAATATAAATATAAAATATGTAATTAATTTTATTATATAAAATATTTTATATATATACTGTACTATATAGTATATTATATAATATTATATAGTATATAATATAATAGTATAAAATGCTATACTTTATATAGTATAATAGTATAAAATTAATTACATATTTATATATTATAAATTTACTTACAAATATACTTTATATTACTTTATATAGTACAACATTGTACGATTGCAGTATTGAGTCATAGATGGCTACGATAATTTATAACATGACTGGATAATTATAGATTTCATGTAAGTCATTTTTTTAGCGATTTTACGTTTGTATTTTCCATACAAATATGTATGTATGTACATAAAGCCCCTTCCCACATGTTTTGAATCACTCTGTATGTCGTAGATATATAACGATAATTGTACTTTTTATTTTCCTAAAATACTTACCAAACAGCTCTGTCATTTTCGAGGGCCCGTTGGACATCAACGGTGCATTCGCCGAGAAAAATATTATCGCCATCAGGACAGAAATCCCAGAGAGTCACTTCGATTGCTCGATTCATTAAACTCTCGCCGTCAACTCCGGAGAAGACCAATGTTGCATTCCAAATTGGCTTTTGACTTGGCTCCGCGACCACGGTTTTCAAAGTAATTTGATCAGCACTGAAATGCACATATAACATCGAGCCATTCATATCCCGTGCAAATACATAAAACAAATTCATAAAAGGAAAAGATGAAGATGATTATTATTTGCGATTTTCTTCGAGTTATGATCAAATTATTATTTGCGAATGTATTGAGAATAGTTCAATGTTAGAAGGATAAAAGTGAGAAATATATAAAAAGATAATTAAACTAAAGAAACTAAAAACTTAATTGTCTTCAATATAATTTTTATAATATTTGTATAATGAAATTTTTATTTTTTTTTAGATTATATAAATTGTAGGGAATACTAAAAGTACTTAAAAACAGAAATAATTGAGGATAATAATTTATTTTAAATAATTATATGTTTGTTTTCTAGTTTATTATTATCTTATATATCTTCCTTGATTATCTAATATTGGATTGGTTTTAATATATTTGCAAATAATAAATGTATCATAATTTTGAAGTATAAAATCATAAATAACAATGTTAAAAGCAAATGAACTTTAAATTGAACAATTTTTTAATGATACAGTTGTTGACATTCTAAGTAATCAAAAACGATTTGTTTGAAATTATTGGGATAAACAACAAATTTTTACATTTTTCATAGTAATAATTTTCTTTAGTTTTCAGTTATAATTTTACATAAATATAAATTCCTTAAGTTTCCAGTTATAATTTTAATTAATCACAAATTTCCATAGTTAAATGCAACTTTCTATTAAAGAACTCGTTAATAATTCCTTTTTTTTTTAATATTGTAACCTCATTTAATGTGCCAGTGCTAATGATGCGATTACAAGCGTTTTGAAAGCGTTTCCAATACCTCGTTAACAGAAAAGCAATAGATTGTTTCCCATTATAATAACGCTGGAATGGATGTGAATTTCATAACTCGGGGAAAAAGAAACGAGGAAATTAAGTTAAGGAAATGCGAAAAATATTCTTCATATTCGCGTCACTCGATTTCCATTTGTTTAGATCATTACAGAACTATTTGAATGGAAAAAGGGTTCAGAGACTGTGAAGCAGTTCAAGATTACTTCTCGTTGAAGTAACAAAGTTTCAATAAAGAAGGGATTGAGAAGCTTATGAAACGTTAACAGATAATAATAGAGATCGTTATAACAGGGACTTTACTGGCATCAGTTTATTGACATAATGTATCATACTATAAATATAACGCAGACACATTTGATATAAATATCACGGTCTAGATATTTTAAAAACACTGTGTGTTAACATTAAATAACGTAGGTAAATAAGATTTAAAATTTAAAATCTTTATCTCATTAATAAAAAAGAAAAATACTGTTTCTATCGGATTATTTGATTTTTAGATTATTTTAATCTTTAGATTATTTTAATTTAACTGTGTATCTAAAATTAAGAGACGAGTATACTCTTTAGATGCACTTGCTATAAAGTTGAACTAAATTGTAACAGCATGATTGATTGTTCATAACACAAAATTTGAAACTTAATGAAATTCATAAAAATTTTAACTTGAAGCGTACACTTTGCAACACATTCTAGAATTTCCTCGCTAAAAAAGAAAATCAAATGTATATGAAAAGAATGGAAGATTAGATCCTGTTTTTGTTTCAACAACAATAAAAAATTGCCAAGAAATCTGATCGAATTGTCATGCTATTAAATAAATATTCCAAATATTCAAATACAAAATAAATTTCGGAGAATTGTAATTACAAAATTTGAATTTAAATGACAGCAAATAATGTCTTTTTTGGCATGAGTATTCGTCAAGTAATAAATAGATTAATACTAGAAGTACCAAATTAGAATTAAAGTGTCTGATACAAGATTCTTTTTATTTTTGTGGTTAGCAACATTAATGTTCGCTTCTGCTGAGTAATTATATCTATTCGTTACAATAATATTATATAAACTCCATTTATTTGAGCGTGATTCCGTAAATCGTTCGTATTATACGAACTCCAATGATATAAACTATTTATTTCGAAAGGTGCAAATAGTGTGTACGTATCATTTTTCAAATAAGTTCTTACCAAACTGGGAGTAGGACCAATTTCGCATAAGCTTCCGGTAGCGTGCCGTATCCCATGTCTTCTCTAGGGCACAAATCGTCGGCGGTGAAAACGGAAACGATCAGCTCTCTACGATCCGCTTCGTACGCAACCTGAATCTGTATCCGTCCCGTCACCTGCTTCTCTTTCGCGATTTGCTCCTAGAATAGAGGAGAGTCAAATGAAGACCCGCCGCTTCTCGAACCCAGCGACGATCAATAAGACTAACGGCGAGTCTACGAATGAACAAAGACGTGATCTCCGCGTTCTCATGAAATCGCAGCCGTGAATCCGAAACCGTGACAAAATTAGATGAGCTTCGCAGAGAATAAGAAAGATTAGTCGAAAGATCGAACGTCTATGTTGCACACGTAACTCCTACGTGGAGAATTAGAGAGCCGGAGATTCATTCCGTTCATGCAGAAGCGAGTTGTGAGGGGATTGTTGTCGAGTAAGGAAGCAAAAAATGATAAATAAGAACGAGCAGACTATGTACGACTATGCGCAAAGTATGTATGTACGTATGTATGTATGTACAAAATTATTGTGATCGTGTGAAAAGTTAAGTCAGACGAATGTCGCGTTAATGCTCGACAACTATAGCTACGGGAGCGTGGATAGCGTGACATCAGTGATGAACAACATACATCCTTATACATTCTTGTTTCAAATAATTTTGACTAATTTTAATTAAGTTTTGCTCGTTTCAATTCGGACAGATAATATTTATTACGTATAATGATTTTTAAAAGTTATTGTTAAAAGTTTATGAATGCGTTCAGGGTATGAAACATTTAGTTTCTTAAAAAGGAGTTTTCGTGCGATACGCGAAAAGATAATTTTTAAATGGAATTGCTATTGAATTGACGCTATAATTATTAATAATGATGAGAAATAATTAATATATTTATTTCTATTAAAAATTATTAAATTATTAATATAAGCAGTATTAACTAAATATAATTAAAGTAGGAGGAGCAAACTAAGAATCCATGTTTGCTTTTCTTCCAAAAAATGAAAGAATATTTTAGTATATTTAATTTCTAATGTACATAAATAATATTTTTTTCTAATATGCTATTCATGATGTTATACAATTTCTAGATATAATAGCGGATAGAAGAAATTTTAAAAGGCAAACACATAATCCATCATTTTATAGAATAAAAATACATGTCAGAATAGAACTTTGATTGGTGCAAATTATGATTGGTGTAGAAGTGAATCTTTTTTTGTTTGTCTTCACATCGTGAAAGAACAATAAATCATGATATCGTGGAACCTTGATAAAGTTAGATTTTTTTTTTAGAACCATTTAATTTTCATAATAATAACTTCTGAATTCTCTCTTTATCGTAAGCTCTTTAATCGACAAAAAATAATTAGCGTGTAATTCTAATAATAATTTAAATAAAAAAATGATAGCTTGGCGAGTTTAATTATTCCATTGAAATATTTTATGAAAGAGGATTTCTCATAATTGCGTGACAAATTTATTTAGAGACCGAAAATAAAATATTTCAATATTATGCTAAGATGGTTTCTGTGAATTCTTTACAATAGATATTCAGAAGTGTGATGGCTTTCCACGACAGAATAGTTAATACGTGCAAATGGAATCTGAGAATAGACGTATAAAAGGGGAGCATACTGTGAAACTCATTTTGTATGCATTTTGTACATTAAAAAAACATAGTTTCTCGCTGTATCTGATACTTTCTTGAATTTTTAAAGCGAACATTATGTTGAACGATACGAAGGTTAAACACTTGTAAAGGCTAGCCAGCAATTCCATTTAAAATTTAAATTGAAATTCAATGTACTTTATATTTTCGTCAGTCTCGTATTTAACAATATCAGTATTATACAAGCTATTAACAGTTTTATTATATCCCAAATATCATTATATGTAAAATATTATATTACAATTTCTATAAAAAATTGCTACCTTTCTAAATATTTTATTTCAAACTTACTACGTCTCGATTTTAAAATTTGATCAAAACTTTTTATTTCTAGGAAGATGTGCAACATACTAAATCGCGAATATACCCTGAATACGTTCATGAAAATGTTTTCAATACAAGTTAACCCTCTATAACCAAAATTTCGTTTACCTGCAGGAGAAATAGATTATTCACTAAGTGTTTGTCACTCAGCTATTTATTTTCAAAAGTAAATATTTAATTTCAATTCCGGGAATTGAAAATTGTTAGAAATGAGTCATTTAACATTTTTATAATGACGTAAAATGCACGAAATGCATAAATGCATAAATATGGATATACGTACGTGTATGTAACTTTCAAGTTACACGATGTTATAGGGGGTTAAAATACAAACTTCTCACATAATTCAAGTAACGATATAGCGAGATTGCAAATTATCATATGATACGCGATATCGATCGATGTCGCAGTGACAGCGATTGATGTCGCTTTTTATCTCCTTCAACATCTCTTAAATCTTCGTTCCGTCAATTGGAACATTCATAATCTTCACCTCGCCAAATCATGTTCTGAATTATAATATTTAAATTCATTACATAGAACCATTGTTATTTTATACTATTTCATTAATAACCTTTGCACTCAGAATTGTGCTAATATTGTCGAGATTGTCAGTTGCACTGCCATAAATTATCGTGGTCTCTGATTACACCAAATTATTTAACATCTATGTATTTTTACAGACACTAATTACCTACATTGTAAAAATACATGAATAAATCTAATATGTCAAATTTAATCATGTGTCAAGAAGCACCGTAAAAACATTATAAAGTATAAACGTGCACAAATCAGGAGAAATCTAATATTTCTTAGCCAAAATAAATAAATGATTCTAAATCTGATCTGATAAATTGTATCTATAGGTATCGCGTTGGACAAGGAAATATCAAAATAGTTACCGAGTGCAAAGGATTAAAGTGTTAAAGAGATTATCAGAGAAACTAATGTTTCTTCTGACAAATGAACAACCCCGAATTTGATTTAACAAATTCAACGTACAATTGCATGATAATTGCACAGGAAAAATATAGGAATAATTCCCAAGTGCAAAGGATTAAAGAGACTGCCGCGAATTATTAATGAAACATCCAATTAAACGATTGTTCATTGTTCATTGTTCATTGTGCATCACTGATCTGTACGATACAGGCCAAGAAAAAGGTTCGTTTCCTTTGATCGCAGCGATTGTTAGTTCGCGTTTCCTGGTTTTCCGGCTCCTCTTCCGATCCCAGCGGTCGAATTCCTCTTCGCCCTTATCGTCTCATCTCGTTCCTATCATTTCCTTTTCTCATTTCGCGCAAACATGGCAACGTTGACTTGACCTCCTCTCTTCACGCACGTACCGTTTTCCCGGACTGTACGTCTGTTTTTTTAACCCTTGACTGGTATCGTTGGGTCATTGGGAATCGATCGTTGCTCAGTTTTAGAATTTTCAACCCTCTGAGTGTTTGCTTCGTACAAGACAATCTGAGATGCTTAAACTACTACTAGTTTCATCATTAAAGAGGACAACGTGTTACGATGTGTTGAACAAATATGTCAAAAGGTATATATTTAACCGCTTTGAAATCATGGATAATCTCGCGACGCACTATCGTTCGTATAATGCCGCGTTGTAAAATAATATTATATTGTTATACGTTATTTTATATAATATTATTAAATAATAATAATATATAATTTAAATTATATTATATTATATAAAATAATATTATATTAGATAATATTAATAAATTATCAATCAAATAATATTATTTAATATTATATTATATTTAATAATAATAATATATAATTTAAATATTATATTATATAAAATAATATTATATTACATAATATTAATAAATTATCAATTAAATAATATTATTTAATATTATATTATATTTAATAATAATAATATATAATTTAAATAATATTATATTATATAAAATAATATTATATTACATAATATTAATAAATTATTAATTAAATAATATTATTTAATATTATATTATATTAAATAATAATAATATATAATTTAAATAATATTATATTATTATACGTTATTTTATACGTTGAAATTTTTATCATCGTACACAAGAAAATTGCTCTTTCGTTTAATATTGACCACGATGTTTCGTAAATTCATGTTTCTTTGAATTGAACTCTCATCCTAATGAAAAACACACGAGTTATCTCGTCCGTGGTTACGAAGCGGTTAAAGATAAAATGATTTTTAGTTTATTACGCGTGTCTCGTGTGATATTCATTGGTAACATTAATTATTTAGTAATATTACTGACTTTCTAGTAATTTTAACCGTCACTCAAAGGATTAATTTGACTAAATTTTATGACGAGTCTCTGTCACAAGAGTAAGATAAAATAATATGAAATGCCACAAGTATTAACAAAATCTAATATAAATTATTATAGTCATCTGTGTGTAACCCAACGACACTGTTCGAGGATTAAATCTGTTCAACGCGTTCAAAGATCTACGCAAGCGAGGTGTGCGTGTGGTCGCGGCGCTTTTTCGGCCTTAAAGTTTCCATTGACGTGTGCGGTCGATGTTCGACTGAGACACACAGGGCAGCGGAAACGCAATGAACCAAAAGCAGAAAAACGTGATCGGCCCGTCAAAGGACGACTCTGTGAAATTTCGATGAATTTTTCTCGGGAAAAAATTTTCGATTTTTCGATCGTTTTTTTTTTTTTTTTGTTCGCGCAGAATGGCATCGACATGATAGCATCAATTTTTCCTCTTTTCGCTTGTTATTATTTTCTCCTCTTTTTCTTTTTTTCTTTTTTTTTCTGACGATCAACGCGTTCAAAGGTTACGCAAAAAAAAAAGAAAAAAAAAAAAAACGACAGTTCTGAGACCGTGAGCATTATTTTACACTAGATCCAGTGAATACCTTTAAAGCCGAAGCCGAGTCGCGAGAGAAGCATGGCGTTGGTGTTGTATGTGCAAACGATGTCAGGCTACGATTCTTTTCGCATACGCTTTCCCTTGTTATCGTCGTTAAAAATACATTCTATAATATAATATAATATTTTGATAATATTTTCTTACGTTGGAAAAATTATCTGTGATATTTGTTTCGTATTACAGTAGAAAAGCCAAGAAATTTGAAGTAATTGATATAATCTTTCTTGTTACTTGGAATTTGT